AATCTTTTTGTGGTCTTGGGGTTTGCTGGTTCAATTGCTTCCTGTTATGATGAGCAACACCGTACGAAAATTACCCGGGCGGCTGAACACCGCACACGCCCCGGGGACGACCGTGACATGCTTCTCTTGTCAAAGTGTAAAAAAATAAAAATAAATAATAACACGTTTCCTGCCTTCATTCACACCTAAGTGTCTCCATTAGCTTCAACACGACCAGTTTGCTGAACGTGTTGGGTTTATAAATGGCTAAGACAGATGTTGACGACATACAAACTGCACATTTCACCCTCAGGTAAATGGTGGGATTTCTAAAAGAAGAACCGTGATATGAATATGAAAAAAAATGATCACGGAAAACAGATTAAAGAGATCTGCAGAGAAACATAATCTTCTCACATTAGGCAGATGAACGTCAGACGTAATGTGTCGCCAAAGGATGAGAAATGGAACTAAAATGTACGAGAATGACATCATGGTTCAAGTACGAGGAGAGCAGCTCAACTCAGACCAGAGTGAGTTTATGTCTGTATAACCGGGGAGCGTTTACACAGGCTCATTTCAGATTGCTTTTTTCCGCTTTAGGTAATTTTTTTTCCCCCTCCATTTCGCCCCCGCCCCTCCCTCCCCCATCTACCAATCGAGTATGAAGTGCAACACTCAGCACTTTAATTTCTCTGGGATTTACTCTTCCAGCTGCATATCTCTTCAAAAAATTCCCAGCTCAGCCCAGTTTAATAAAACTGCCAGTGGGATCTTTAAAAAGTGTGACTAACGAGGGCCGTTTGAAATCATCGTTGCTGAAAATGTTGTTCCTGATCAACTGCAACCACAAACTCAACTTCCTCTGGGTGTGAAGAGCATTTCTCAGCTCTTTAACTCTTCACTTTTACATCATTTCACTGCAGGAACCACGGACACAAATCATATCATCATTTTAACTTTATCCTCCTGAGAGTCGCAGCAGAGGCTGGAGTCACTACCATCACCGGGGCATTTACAGAAACAACCGTCCACACTCACATTCAACGGTCAGTTTAGAGTCAACAACTGACCAGAGTCTGTGAGTTTTTGACTGTTTTAAAAGTCGGTGTACGTGGAGAAAAAAAAGGACAAACTGCATCTACATTCATTACCATTAGACTAATGGACGATGGATAAAAGAATGAAAAAAAAGGACAAACTGCATCTACATCCATTACCATTAGACTAATGATATGACTAATAAAATTTACATAATGTTGTACCAGCTAAAGGGGGGCGGGGAGGGTGTTAGCACTGCATAACAGCAGCACCTACAGGAGATGGAGGGAAGTGAATTTGTAAATAGAAACCTAATATTGTTATATTTCTAATTTAAAATCACAGAGGTTATATATTCTTAACCAGGGGACTGCAGCCCAAACTTGGACCACTAGCGCCACCTAGAGGGACAAAAAATGATGGGATGTGGAATGTTGTGGAACGGACATGTGTAGGTACAATCCCAACACAGGGTCTACGGTCGAAAGGTCTACGATCTAGATCTGATCTGGAGGATGAGAGTTGTCGTGTAGATGCGTAAAACATCAGATCAGAATCTGTCACTATTTACTAAACAAATCTATACATTAATACCTTGGATGTGGAAGCTGTCAGTGCAGTTTCCACATCCATGGGTGTGAAGGGG